GTAAAATACGCGATGCACTCTTTTTCCCTTACTAAGGTTTTTTCCCATGGGGTTTTCCTTATATTTTTAATGAGGCACCTAGCAATGCGTCTTACTAAATATGTGTATTCTTTTTCCTTCACTGAGATTTTTTCCCACGTGGTTTTTCCTAGTACGGTTTTAATGAGGCACATTATCTTTTAATGAACATCCAAGGGGAAGTGTTATAAATATATTATATTATGGATGTTCATTTAGTACTCCGTTGTAAATAAGCTTCTTGAATAAGCTTATCCATATGAGACTCCACCGTAAATATGTTTATCTATTTAGTACTCTATTGGAAATAAGCTTCCTGAAGAAGCTTATCACTTCAGTACCCGGTTATGGATAAATATTACCCCCGGTAGAAGATTATCCATACCAGGTATAATAAGTTTATCCTTTCAGTACCCAGTTATGGATAAATATTACCCCGATAGAAGATTATCCATACCGGGTATAATAAGCTTATCCTTTCAGTACTCCGTTATGGATAAACATTGCTCTCAGTAGAAGATTATCCATATCTGGTATAGTAACAGCTTACACAGTAGCTTCCTTTCTTATATAAATAGAAGAGATTTCAGTTCATTATGTATATCAGTTTGAATTCGAATAATATATCAGTTTCTCTCTATACTTATCTTTACTTTATAGTCTTTATTTTATAACAAATTGTATTTTGAAAATACTTTTGCCAAAAAGAAACAATTTAAAGTTAGAATAAATCACTGGACTGATAGCCCGTTTGGCCAAGCTGCAAAAATCAGCTTATTTTGAGAAGTGCTTTTTTTCAAAAGTGTTTTTCTCAAAAGTACTTTTGGTGAGAAGCAGTTTGTGTTTGAGTAATTAGTTTGAAAAGTACTTCTGAGCAGCAATTAGTGTTTGACCAAGCTTTAAAAAACTGCTTCTAAGTGTATTTTTCTCAAAAGTGCTTCTCAAAAAAGTGCTTTTGAAGAGAAGCTACTTTTTCTGCTTCTCCAAAATTGCTTCTGCTTCTCCTCAAAAACACTTTTTTTCCTTCCAGAAGCTTGGCCAAACACCTCAATTTTTGGCCAAAAATACTTTTGGCAAAAAAAAAGAAGCACTTTTGACCAAAAATAAGCTTGGCCAAACAGGCTATTAGTATTCCCTTCAACTTTACACATTGCAATAAATATCCCCCGATCAAATTTATATCTTTTAGGAAACTTTTTTATTTTTTTATATTTTTATGTTAAGTACTCAANGTGCTTTTAGCAAAAAAAAAAAAAGAAACACTTTTGCCCAAAAATAAGCTTGGCCAAACAGGCTATGAACCCCAACCCGACCCGATAAATATAAAACCCAAATCGAACAAGAGGATTAGAAGTTAACGGCTCTCTCTTTGTTTCCATGGCAGCAATGAGCGCAGTGGCAATGGTAATGGCTTCACCCTCCCCCCACCTGCTTATCCACTCTCCAGTAAGGGCAACCAAAATACTCTTACTTTTCAATAGAGCTTTTATTGTTTTTTTTCATCTTCTTCTTCAAATGCATTAATTCTCTTATAAATTTCCATACTTGTACGTATACTATTTTGTTTATATTCAACATTGTATTTGTTCTTTAAGATTCCAAATGCGCTTCAACATATTAGTATTTTTTGTTTACTGGTCATATTTTGGGCTAAATCTCTAGTTCATTGAGTTCTTTTCCGATTTTTTTTTTTGAATCACTTTAGCCTTTTTCAGATAATTTAAAGCTTTTTATGTTTGTTTCCTCCAGCAGTGGCCTTCTTGTGTATAGAAAGCTCACTCAGCTAAGGGGTGCTTTTTAGCAGTAAATAGATGGGCGGGGCGGGGTAAATAGTAGGCTTTGTAACAAATAAACAACTAGGCTGAATTGCATGTGTGTTTTTCCAGAGGAAATCATTTGAATTATTACAAGTGTGTGTTTTCTCCAAAGAAAATATTACTCCTACGACTTATGATTTGTTGGCCATTATATATAGTATTCCCTTTTGAGCTGATTATTAGTGCATTATTGGCTTCTTTGTGCTTTATTTTCACAGCATAGTAGTGTCAGGGCTATCTCCAAGAATATCTTGTGCAGCCATTCTGCAATTTATCCCGCAACAGCGGTTACATATCAGGGGTAAACGACTTCTCTACCACCTTTGATTAAGTGGCTTTTCCTTTGAAGTCTCGTCTAGCACATGCTTCATTCTCCGCTTACAATTTCCTGGTTTCCTTCTTTCATAATGTTTATATATCATTGTCTAGCCTAGATAATGGAAAAGCGCTATCTTTAACAGCTCTTCCGGTAATGGCATGAATAAGCAATTCCTTTAATTTATTAGTAAATCCATATAAAACTTAATAAGGATTTCAGCTTTATGGTGCAGGAAATTGGTTGTCATATCTTTATAGACATTTATTTTTAAAGTTTTCAATTGCATCATGTACTCAAGTAAAATTGCTGTAGAAATGCAATAACACAATAATACACATGCGATAACAACTGGAATTCATTATCACGCCTTAAACTAGGAACTCTAACATTCCGCATGCTTGGTGACAAACATATGAATCTTAATATGTGCTAATCATGATAATTTAGTTCATTAGTTTAGCGAGAAATTTTTTGTGGAATTCTACTCGACAAACTTTAAGGTTGATAATTGGAAAGGTTAAGGTTTTAAGATACAAACTTAGTGTTAAAGAGTGGCTAAAATGTCTAATTGTAGTGTTGCTGTAAGAAATAGATATGCTAGAAGGAAATCAGACAGAAGAAAATGTGGCAAGGTAATAAGTTGTAGAAAGAATTAACCAAGAACTGTCACTTCTTATGTTATCAACAACCATTATCTTGAACTCTAAGTTTTGCAGATTCTTTTTATCTATTTATCATAATTTTCCGATCAGCTTGCTCAGAAAGTTATCTCACCAAATAAATCAGTCAATACCTAAACTAGTTGAGGTAAGGTATATGAATCCTTTGGTTACCGAAATATACGCAAGAAATTTGACCAGCTCTGCTCCCTATCACAAAATGAACCTCTGACTTTTTAGTTGTCATCCGATTTGCTTTGGTATAACTTGGACAAATTGTGCAGCTTATAAACTCATTATTTTTTAATTTTTCATACGTCATGCTACTGCAGAGGGGTTATGTAACAGGGAACTGATATTCAACTAAAATAGGAGAAATTACAGAACTGTAATTTTCAACTTAGGGAATATAAAGCAAAAAACAAAAAAGGGAGGTTCCAGATTGCTAAACTTAGCTAAGAAAATTAAAAAGCAACTTCTTCCATGCCTTCTACTAGGCGGGTCCTCTGCTATATATGCTTCTCGGTACTAGGAATATCCTTATCCCTTCTCTAACGGTTTTGGCAGAGGCAATGTTCCTTTTGAATTGGGGACCACATATTGGTCCAGGTGTTTTGGCAATTGACTCTCTCTTGGACTACGCTTGGCTATAGCTGAAGTGTCCTGCTGATCTGTTGCAGGTTATGATGTAGTATTTGTGAGGTGTAGTATTTCTGAGACTGTTTAAGGAAATTGACGAGACTAAAAAGTGACTCTGTGATGGATAATGTATTAAAATAGCGTGTTTATCTGAAAGTGGGAGAAAAGAAACTCGAGGATTCTCTTTTAGAAGTTGCAAGGGATGTTCCTACAATATGTTAAATTAGGAACCTTGCTAACAAAGAAAGACACGATATCCGAACTTGTCTTATTTTCCTCCACGGTAGAATTTTGATAGCTCGTACACTGAAAAGACCACACGATGAAGACTTGGAATTCTTGATGGATAATAACCATAGAGATTAACACTTGACCTGCTAACTGCTGTATTTCTTAAGAACCTTAGGCCTGTAGAACTTTTTAATCTCACATAAGAACTTCAGGTATCCATTCTTATTCTGGTACAGATATGGTAATTTATCTATCTTATTTCAGTAGGATTTCTCATCTCAATGACTGCATGTAGAGAGTTGTCACTTAATGCAAGATGGTGGTTCCAGGTTACTGAATCACTGTATCTTCTCACGAGGATGCCTAAAATCTTTGGTCAAGCCAGTATTTGCTGCTGGTTCAGGTGATTATAGTCAAGCCTCGGTTCTTTTTGTTTATGGAAAAATCTGTCTTTTCTGCAGTTGTGTCTGCAACTAGTCTATTAGAGTCATGGTCTTCTCTGTTATGACAGGCCTAGAGGCATCTGTTGCTGATGATGAGGCTTTGATAAGCGTTAAAAATGCCAAGATAGCCGTGGAATCCCAAGATGCTGAAAAGATACATGTATTTTCACAAAACTGCTTTCTTTTCATCAACTTTAGTTCATCTAAATTTATTATCTCATTTTGAACCACCCTTTGTTTATTCTCGAGAGTATATTTGAGGTGTACAGCTCATGTACTTGTTCGTACGATGGAATTGGGAACACGTTTACCTGCCTTTGATTAGCTTATAATTGGCCATTGTATAAAATATATCAAAGATGAGGAAAATATCAAACTGAAAAGGACACTTTATGGTATTGACACAAACAATACCTCCATTTTTTATAGTGGTCTACTTTTTCCTTAGGCCATCTCCTAAAAAAGGAAAAGGTTTTTGCCTTACACATTAGTACCGAAAGCTACATACAACCTACTTTTACTCTTCTTGCCATTTTCTATTACTACTAATTACTAGAAAAAGGAAGGTACCTTGTAGCGAGATTTTCCCTTTTTGACCTGCAGAATTTGATTTTTCATGTGTTTTTAAAAGAAAAATTATGGTTGTGGCTAGTGAAATATGTTCAAATTGGGACCTGGAAAAAGTATTTATTAGATTTAACATTCAAGGCATGTTTCTCTGACTCAGAACATGGACAAAGATCATTGCTTCACGAGACAGACTAGTGATGCATTCTCTCTGCAGCTTTAGAGTGTATTGGTATTAACTTATATTCAATAATAATCCGATATTCTTGAGTGAACTCCCGCTCTGAGGCTTAACCTTGTGATATATAAAGGTACATGACAAACCAAAATAGGATGATAATGTAAGAGTGAACTGCGCCTCTTCTCTCTTCTCCCCTTTTCCTCATCATTCGTTTACCTGTACTGTTTGATGTCCTTGTCATTTTTTTAGCATGGAAAAGTTACATAGAAACAGAGCTGAAAGGTCTGAACCAAACTGCTTAAGGACCTTCTTGTTAATTATTATTTCATCATTTTAATCACAGTTAAAGCCCTCCCTGCCCCCAGCTGTCCCTTCTAACCCAATGCTGCCTAATATTTATAAGAAGCCAAAATTATATGAACGGAGCATCTTTTTCTTGTCTGTAATAGTGAAAAAAGGTTGTTCCATAATGGAAGTGTTTTTTTATAAGAATTCTATAATGGAAGTGTCTAATACATTTAAAAATGCCTGTTTGATTTGTGATATTTCCACTATATTCTTCACTCCATACAGTGAGAGCACACAAGGTATCAGATCACTTGACTTCTAAATTGGTTGCCCGGTTAAGGAGAAACAAGCTGTACATATTTGGATAACAAACCATAGCTCAGTAGCATTTTTCAAGAGTAACTCCCACAGACTTCATGGCTTTATCTTGATCCTGTTGGTATCCAAATTAGAATATATTATATGAATATAGCCAGTGTATAGTACCTAAACTCCTTAATTACTCCAATGCAGTGGTTAATTGTAGCTTGATTGTTACTTATACAATAGTTAACTGTTTTACGAGAAGGAAACTGAAAACTTGTTTTGCAAGTTGCCAAGTTCTGATATATAGATTGGCCTATTAGACCGATTCACTTTCATCTATATATATATAGGTAATATACATACAAAAACCTAGCCAGGCATATACATATACACCAAGTTTAATTAATTCTAACAAATTTGCTATTTTTTGTTTAACATATGTGGAACACAAAATTTGATTTAACCCATGATTAAGTGAGCAGCTTGAGCAGAAAAATAACATGTATCATGCATTTAACGGTTCGGTCTATACAGTGATTAGCATAAAGTAGGTGTATTCAATTTAATTTGCTTGCTTTCAATGTTGCGGTTGCCAAGGATCTTCCGAAAACATCTCTGCCTTATTAAAGGTAGGGGTAAGGTCTGGGTACACACTACCCTCCCCAGACCCCACTTGTGGGATTACACTGGGTCTGTTGTTGTTGTTGTTGTTGTTGTTGTTGTTGTTGTTGTTGTTGTTGTTGTTGTTGTATACTAAGTTGCTCCGACACGGCAGTTTAGGTGCCGCACCCGTGTCGACACGACACTAGTATGGGTGTGGGTATGAGATTCGTATCGAATCTGGGCAAATAATTTTGGGTACTTTGACCATGATGGACAGAAAAATTCGAGACAAGATACAATTTGATTCCCAATCAAAACCAACACAAGTGTAAATTTGAAGAAAATAACATACCTTATTTAGAAAATCAACCGTTTACTTATCTACAACTTGAGAATAAAAAAGAAATTCACACTTTACAAGCTATACGTAAGTATTTCATAAAATTTCTCATAATTTAGAGATATCTTTATATTTTTATTTCATTTTGAATTATTTTTAACCGGATCCCCGCACCTGGGTCCGTACTAGGATCCGTATCCCCGATCTTAGAATTTACATTTCAAAGGATCTGACCTCTAGATTTGCACCTGTGTCGAACACCCGCACCCGTGTCCGAGCAACTTAGGTTGTATATGAATATAGCCTGTAGGGATTTCTATCAGCAATAACTAAAATCGGTATACATGTTAGTTACTCTTATGTATTGAGGATGCATATTGTTCTCCCATGTGTTTGGTGGTATTTTGCAAATTCCTTAATTTTATTTTCTTAGGTCAGAGTAGATGTGGATAAGGAGGACACAAGAATAGTTTTTGAGAAAGTTTTGGCAAATTTAGCACGTTCTGCACCACCTGTTCCAGGCTTCCGCAGGGAAAAAGGAGGTATTGTTTTTATTTAATGATTTTGATCAAGGAGACATTGCTACAACTTTCAATCTCCTAATGGCCGCAAATATTATCACCGAGTATTTCCTCAACCTTATCGATATTTTCTTTCCTTCTTACATCTGACTTGCTTTTGGTAGTCTATTCCATTTAATCATATAAAGTACCTAACCTGATTCGACTTTGGCATTCCAAAAGTATCCTTTATTCATGTCATGTTACTATTTGTGTTTTGTATGAGTTCTCAATTCTTCGAGGTACGTGCTACCTGGCCCGGACACACCGTCTTTAAAAAAATATAGAGTTCTCAATTCTTCTCCTGTTTGTTTCAACAGTCAACTTTGTCCTTGGCCAGGAAAATCTTTGGAAATGTCAGAAACTAGCATTTGCACTGGGTAACATGAAAGTTGGCAAGTGAGATCAGTGTGACAAGCGATGTTGTTCTCGCACAAGTCATAAGCAGAAAAGACAACTGATTTTCAATGATTTTGCAAGAATGACTCCGGGGATATATCACAATATTCTCTTTTCGCAGAATATGAGTTGGATAAACTTGATTAGCAAGAAATGAACATAGTGGTTTTGGGAGTGAAAACTATTCCTGTTTTGCATAATATGCTATTGACCGGTGCTTTTTGCGTTTTTCCTTTCAATTTTAATTCTGGGGGGCCTTGGTAGATAGAGAGTGGAGGCCGTCAAACTTTGGTCGGGTCTTATCCTATATCCCTCTCACTTTCGCAATGATCACATACAACTTCAGCTAATATGCCATGTTCCGTTTTTAATATTTTGTAAATTTACAGTCGTTCAATCTCTAATGCGTGAATCTAACATATTGTAATGTTGTGTGCATGGTTGCTGCTCCAGGGAAAACATCTAAGGTATGTACATTGCGGTGCTCAGCTCAATTTATCTTACCTTGTTTGATAGCACCAAGACCAGAAAAGTTTGTATATATTATTTTCTGGCATTAGCTGGAGAGTATCTAAAACAGTAGTTGTATTTTTTTAACTTCTAAAGGATTATATCAATATGAAACAAAGTACTATTATTTCATGTCAATTTGACTGGAGAAGAATGATTTTTCCATATATGGGAGGGGTTAAATAAATGAGATGAATGGAGTTTCAAATGGAGAAGGATGATTTTTCAAGGATGACAAAAGACATCTTAAAATGTCCTGGAATAAGAAGTGTCCGCAAGTGTGGCTCGTTTGAAGTACTTCTGCTTATTATTTTGCAGATTGGTCCTCATTATTGTGATTGTTCTTCTTGCTCTTAATCGCCTCTTTAAGAAATACGGAGAATAATATTTTTAATATGTTTTACTGGGAATGGGAAATGATATCCTAGTTCTAGTGCATTTCTCTACTTTACGCTTGACAGCTGATTGACGACTTCCACAGGTTCCTAGGGACTTTCTACTGCAGATACTTGGTGAAGATCGAGTTACCAATTTTGTAATCCGGGAAATTGTTACCTCAACCCTCGCTGATTATGTGAAGAAGGCAAGTTAATCAATATTATTTCAACCTTTATTGAATTCCAATTAGATCTTCTCTAAACTTTGAAGGTTATTAATTCTGCAGGAGAACTTGTCAGTGAAGGATAACAAGATTAGCACCACCCAAACTGCCGATGAACTCAAATCATCGTTTACTATTGGAGCTGAATTCGGATTCAATGCCACCTTAGAGCTTGAAGATGCAAAAACTGAAGCCACCACATAAACTGACAGAAGATGTGACACTTGTTTTGCGTAAACGTCAATCTCATTATCTAATCTGTTAGAATCAGTAATTCTTGAGGCCAGTAGATTGAAGATCTTCAAAGAGCTACTCCTATTAATTTGTAAAACGTGAGAAGTTATCATAATTGTCACGAGCAAAGATAAATGCGAAAGGCTTTTTTGTAATGCTACTAGTACTTGCTCTGTTATTTTGCCCAAGCCTGATTGAGGAAGTGTTATAAAACAAAAATATGTGTTGGTCGGGTCCATTCATGATAAATAATAAATAAAAAGGTAAAAAGAAAAGTCATTCCATTTCTATAAAAGACCCACACCCAAGTTTTATAGCTTTTTGTTATAAGAAGAGCGACCCAAAAACAGAATGAAGAGTATGAGGAGCAGCGGTTTACGATAAGAAAAACTCACATTTTCGTCCTAGCATATGACCAACTTGTTAATGCCTCTTTCTCAATTAGCTCTTTTTTTTAGGGCAAGTTCATTTTCATTCACTCGATATGGCTAGGTGTGAAGCAACTATATGATCTAATGAGTTCCAAAAAATCAGTTAACAAAAGGCAAACTAGGATAGGCTTATTGATCCAGGCAGTGAGATGCTCAGATCGAAAGGAACTGCGTGTACGCTAGAAAGATGTATAAGCAAGCCTTTCTGTATGATCATATAGATTGCTTTTCATAACTTTTTTTCCCATAGGCATTGATTACTGATGATAGGCTATAATTACGTATTTTAGTCGCTTATTACACTCTAATTTACTGCACTTTAATTGAGTTTGAGCATTAATCGCTAGTGTCTTGCACTAATTGTGTGTTTTATGCCTTGCAGGAAGTGATCCTGAGCTCAAGAGTTAATTTGGAGCTAAATTGATCAATCCGGAACTTTGAAATCTGAGTAAAAGCCCAATACATTAAGCCGGGATCGTGTTCGGAGGTCGTGCACCAAGTCTGGATGTTAAAAGAGGACGAAATAAGTTCACTCTGAGGAAATTGCACTGCGGCGCGGCGCAACAGTACAAAAGTGGGCTTGACAAGAAAAGTGAGAACCTGCTGATAAAGGCCATTAGCGCGCCGCATAGTGCGACGCATCAGTACAAATTTTATAGAGTGAGTGTCCTATTTCGCGTGGGAAAAGGTATTTTCGTCTGGGTTCGACCCTACTTGGTATAAATACATGTAAAAACGCTATTTTGAGGGAGGTTGGACAGATTTGAAACACATATTCGATCTAAGGAGACAGAGACACAATAGGAGCAAGGGAGGAATTCTTCTACGAGTTTTTCCTTCCTCTTCCTATTTTTCATTGTTGGTTATGACTTTTAGTATTGTAGTTTTATATACTATCATGAATAGCTAATTTGTTATTTAGAGTGTTGATAGAACCTTTTGTAGGATAAATTCTTGTTATGTTTTTATATAATTGAGCAGTAACTTTTCTCTATTTGTTCAACTACATTTATATTGTGGTTGGTTGAAGAGCTCTCAATTGATTGTGCCTATTTAGTGTGTATTACTCGGGAGAGAGTACATATTTAGGTAGTTGTTGAACAACATTACTTCCGAACCAAGGGTTTAAAGGTGAGATTAGGGATAACGAAACCTTGGGTGCGATCTAAGTAAGCTGTAATTAAATCCAACTAGCGTAACTCGGGAGAGTATATCTAGTAAATTATCGTAATTACTCGGGATAGAATTACAACACGCAGAGCGCTCATGATCGGTAGAAAATACTTAGGCGAAATTATAGAAGACATAGCGGGAATGATTCTGACAATTGGGGAGATCATAACTCTAGACCTCCTTAATCTTTTCTCCAACCCGTAGTATCTTTAGTTGTTAATATACTACTTTAATTATTTAGTTAATTAGATATAAGTCTTAATATTTATTACTTAAAAATTGTTCGAGCTTGTCTTCTTAGCAATATTGAACAGTTGTAGCTAAGCCTTAGTTCTCTGTGAGATTCGACTCCGGACTTGTAAACCGGATTATATTTGTAACGACCGCTTAGTCCTTTTTATAAGGCATAGTTGGGCGTGATCAATTACAATCTAACCAACTCTCTAACTTTAGGGAATCGAGAATCGATCTTTTGATCCTCCTTAAGCCTACTCTTGCCTTTTGATTTGGTTGGTGCAGATTGCAGATGCTGAAGAATCAACCGACACTAGATAGGAACAGTTTCGGTTAAGGCTCTCGAACCTGTTCTACTTCCATAGTCACTTTAGAATTTGATTTTTGATCTTGTTAATAATTTGGCATCCCAAATCGAGGTGGCTCTAAACTCAAATTTGCCTACCTCTCAAGTTACAGAGATATGAGAGGGGCTTTAGAGCCTTAATTCAAGCTAAAAAGCTCGCTAGAAAAATAGCCATATTGATCTAGGTAAGTGATGACAACAAAAATTTTTTTTACGCCTGAGAGATAGAGAACGAGGAGGACAAAATAGTATTTTAACTAGGGCGGACTAAGGAGGTCTTATGTACTCTGTCATTTTATTGGTGGTGGTCAGAGAAAATATTATTCATTAAACCTTTTGGAACTGGACAATAAATGTTGTTTAAAAACCTTTCCGAAAACCATTTGCAGAGGGTAGGTATCATGCTCAATATACATAGAGAATAATGTTATGAGATATATATACTGAACTACATTGTCACGTGACACCTGAACAGCTTCATGAAGATGAAACCAAGTTCGTGAAGAATATTACGAATCCAAGAAGTTTTAGCTATAATATGAGTAATAGTCCTATATACTCAATCATTATAGAATTACGAAACTATATGTTATTTCTTTGTACGCTAAGAGATAACATTGTAATCCAAGAACATAGCAAAACAATAAGCAATCACAATTAAATTTGATGAAGCATCACACGAGAATAATTCATTAGCGTACTATGTAAGTGCCTGAAAATGTACCTCACACACTATAAATTAGTATTATGAGAAGCACACATAAATAATAAACTAATAGTTAGAGCATAGACATTATCAATGTTAATCTAAATTACGGATCAAGAATAAAAAATTGTGTGTACCTTATTACGCACAACAAAAATTATTGTAATTGTTACTAAGAAAATTGCTCCCAAATATATTTTGAATCACTAGAAAACAAAGTTAATCTTTCACCAATTAAATGCCCTAACTTGTGTGTGTTTTTTTCGTGTAGAGAGGATTAGTCAGAGAGAAAATTCTTATTCTTGAGAAGTTCTGTATTTTCTCTTTAACATAAATAGGCAGAGTAATAACAATTAAGGAAGATAACTCACCACTCCCTTTTGCACGTTTACTTTAGTGGGAGTTTGTAATTGTGTGGTAACTTCTCTTAATCTCTCTTAATCGGGTTGGGTTAGCCCACATTGAGCGACCCATGACCCATAATCCAACATCTCCCACTTCGCTCATAGTGGGCTAGACCGATGTCTTTGACACACAATTCATACTGGCAAATAGTTGGTGCGACCTGCGAGCACAAAGAGTTGTAACATCCAAAACCAATTAAAGGTTGTACTAAAGCTCTATGTAGAAATTCAATCACATACGAAAATGATTCACTACTAGCATGAGGATCTTATTACTCACAATAACCCCAGACATCATTCGCTACTCCTATAGCTTGTTATCCGATCCCTCATACTCGAAAAGAAGTAAACTCGAGTTCACGTATAACTTTATCCATAATTACATTTGTTACCCTATGGTAAGTGCAATGGTCGACCTATGAATACAAGTTATATTATTTATTTTAGTTGTGTTCCCCTTTTACTCAAAACTATCCATCCTAGATTAATTGCTTTCCTAGACATGCACTGCATTGTCGAATCACTCATGGCTATTAGTGACATGCTAAAGTAGCAATATCGATTGGCACTTCAAGAAATAGTAAAAGATTAAAGGGTATTCCAATAAAAGTTAATATATGATTTGGGGATCTCACACAATGAAGAAGCATGGATCAATTCTTCCATTATCCCATTGGTCGTAAGCACATGTGGTATGAAACACATGTTACGGTATTCTCACCATATATTAGTGGCGCGCCTAATCATTTTACTTATTCAATATCGTACAGATCTTGGCCTAGACACCTACAAATGTCTTAACCCGAATTTTTCGCTCCAATAATCCTCAATCTATCTTCTTAGAGAAACTCGTATTTGGCTTACAAAAAAGTCATAATCGAATGGTAGAATTCATAAGTCTGACTAGTTTTCAAGATCGACCTTTACAACTGAAATATGACCTTGCACTATTCAAGGTTCTATAAGGTCTCATCTCTTCGTAATTCTCAATGTAAGAGGCGATTACTCATGTGAGATAGTCAATCTTGCGACTTGTTTGACACATTTTGTCAATACAATATCATAACATGCATACAAGATATGAGCATAAATTCTAGAGTCAAATATTGATGAGCATATTAAAATAATCAAGTTATTTTACAATACATAAGCATGGCCATATCCTTCACAAACCTAGAGCCATAACATGTATCTTAAATAGGTCTCTAGATATCGCCTTTGTAAAAGGTTCAGCTATCATATTTGCATAGGAATGTGATAATAGGCTATATTCATGTAGTTTAGCGACCATTTACGCCCCAACTTAGCTATACTTTATTGCTATATGAAGGTTAAATGACAACAAATGGCTCTAATTATGAATTTTGTGATTTGCAGGAGCAAGTCCTGATTATAAGGACATTGAACAGTGTTTGGAGCAAGGAAGGCCAATCGGAGGTGAATACGCATGAAAGAAGAAGGAAAAAATGGAAGGCAGTTGATCTCCATGAGCGCGGGCCAACCGCGGCCGTGCTCAGGCCGCACTCGTCAGGCAAAAAAGAATGCAACATGCGCGGTTTGACCGTGGTCCGAGCTCGGCCGTGCTCGTCACTGCGAGGAACCTTATTTCAGGGGTAAATTCGTAAGTTCGGGGGCAACTCTCCTTAACCTATAAGAAGCCCAGCTCACTGAAAAATAAGGTATGAAGGTTTTTGAAGGATTATTGAAGGCAAGAAGAGGCAAGAGGCAAGGTGGAAGATTCGTCATAGAGTTTTACCTTTCTTCCTCTTGTTTTAATCATTAATGATGAATTCTACTGTTATGATTGTGAAAACGATTATGCATAGCTAAACTTCTAATCTAGGGTTTTGATGGAACCTCTTGGAGGATGAATTTCTGATATGT